GTGGAATAGATTAGAAGATACAACCACAACTACAAACACACTCAACCACCTTATCTTCGAAAAGGAGCCAAGCAGGTTCACTGGAAGAACAACAGTCTTTTTAATAAATGGTGTTGGAAAACTGGCTCTACATTTGCCGAAAACTAAAACTCGACCCAAGCCTATCACCATGTACTAAATTAAAATCTAAATGGATTAAAGATCTGAATATTAAAAAAGAAACACTAAATCTATTGGAAGTCAAATTAGGTAGAAACCTTGAAGACATAGGGGTAGGTAGAGAATTCATGAACAGGACTCAAACTGCACGGGAAATACTTCCCAGAATTAATAACTGGGACTACGTCTTTTTAAAATTTTCTGTAAGTCAAAAAAAAATCTCCAGCATAGTGAAAAGAAAACCCACAAATTGGGAAAAGATCTTAGTGAACTCCCCCTCAGACAAAGGACTTTTGTCTAAAATATATAAAGAATTAAAAAGAATCAGACCCCCAAAATTCAAAGACCCAATCCAAAAATGGGCATCTGAGATGAATACACACCTCAGAGGAAGAAATACAAATGGCAAATAAATACATGAAAAAATGTTCATCATCATTGGTTATTAGGGAAATGCAAATTAAAGCCACACTGAGATTCCATCTCACTCCTGACAGGATGGCCAGGATCAAGAAAACCAACAACAACAAGTGCTGGGGAGGCTGTGGGGAAAAAGGAACTCTCCTACACTGTTGGTGGGAGTGTAGACCGGTACAACCTTTGTGGAGGTCAGTCTGGAGATTTCTCAAAAAGCTGGTATTGGAAGTCCCATTTGTTCCAGCTATTCCACTACTAGGCATCTTCCCAGAAGAACTGAAAGCATCATACCAAAGTGATATATGTGCACCTATGTTTATAGCAGCACAATTTGTAATTGCCAGATCTTGGAAACAACCCAAATGTCCATCAACCGAGGAATGGATAAAAAAGCTGTGGTACTTCTATACAATGGAGTACCACTCAGCTATAAAGAAGGATCACATTGAGGTATTTATCAATAAATGGGTGCAGCTTGAAACCATACTCATAAGTGAACTAAATCAAACTCGCATCTGTGAACTCCGAATAGTTTCCCTACTGTAGGAAATGAATCAAATATATAAAAATACGTGATAACCATGATTCCCCATTATATGGCCTTGAAGCCTTATAAAATTTTCACTTATTAATTGGAATGGCTTTATTCTGGGCTGTTTGATATTATGGCCAGTGATGCGATGAACAGCTACTTTGAAGAAAATAAGACATAATAACAGCTAGTGCCGATTTAATACCATCTTGTCTTAAAGCCGCATCAAACTATGGTTCTTCTGTCTCCATTGATTTTATCATGTTGTAACTTGCTGGATTTTATCGTATGTGGTAGTATAAACAAAAATTGTTATAGGCAAAGAGATAATATTGAAACCATTGATCATTTTATCTGTTAGCTGGTTCTAAATACTCTACAATGCTTTCATCCACTTGAATGGTGTTACACAGACTTGATATGTTTGATGCTATAGCATATGAAGTTATATTCAAATATTTCAAAGAAAAAGACACTATGGTAACTACTATTAAGTCGGGTTATTTGGTGGTGAAGCACTAGGTTGCTGAAAGTGTCATGCTTTATCCTGTATTGTTATGCCCCCTTTTATCTCATCCTCTCCCTTATTCATTAAAAAATTATTTAATTAAAAAATATCAACCAATAAAAAATGCTGCTGAGTTTGTAGGGAAAAAGAAACCCTTTACAACTGTTGGTTAGAGAGTAGACTAGTACAAACACTGTGGAAATCAGTGTGGAGATTCCTCAAAAAATTAGGATTAGAGGTCCCATTCAACCCAGGTATTCCCCTTCTGTGTATCTTCCCAGAAGGATTGAAAAACATCACACCACAGTGACATATGTGCAACCATAAGGTTCAAAATATACAATAGTCACTGTGAAATGGGAGGAAACTGTTCAATAAAAAGAAGAAACTAAGATAGGGGAAAAGAGAAAGAATAGAAGGGAAAAGAAAAAATGCAAGTTAGTTATACCATTAGTGTCACTTAGTTCACTGAATAGGAAAGGTTGTGCTAATATTGATTGAAGAAATTTTTATGCCCATATTTTGTACTTGAGTGACTAAAGATAATGTTGTATAATTTATCAACAATTGTTACTTTTTCATTATTTTGTTGTGAAATTTTTTTACCTTTTCTTCTCAATATTAACAAATAAAGTAAAAAAACACAACTATTTCTAAGATGACAATATGTAATTAACTAGTGATTTCCTACTGTTTATTTTTTCTGAAATTCTGTATAACTTGTACCCTTTTTCTGTTTTTTTTTTCTTTTTCCTCCTTAAATAAAATTTTAAAAAAGAAAAGAAAACACGGGCACGAGAATTCTGATCACACTTTTTGTTTTCATTCCTGTTAGATGTTTCAATCAGCAGAGGAAACTAAACCATATTTTAAAAATAAAATCAGATCTAAAAGAAAAAAGTCCAGCCAAAGGGACATAGTTACTTAATTACAGAGTAATGCTGTGTTTATATAAAAGACAGAATTGTGTAGCTACAAAATTTGAACCAACCTATAAAACATTACTAAAAATTTTGATTGAATTAATAATTATAAAAGATGGAACAATGTATAAAAGCCATCTGATTACCAGTTACAATGCATCAGAAGCATGGAATATTTGGTGGTTAATCTGAAAAATGTGAAAGTCTCCTACAATGAGATCTATAAAATCTGGTATTTGTATAAATATAGAATTAATACAACACAATAAAATATCCAGAAAAACACCCTCATTCATACATAGGAAGCTGAATAATAATACAGTCCAAAGACAACTCAGTAAGAAGGAGTAGTGTATGGAAAATGGTGCTGATTGTACATTTTCGATCTTGTTTACTCCCTCAGTGTCATTTTTTTATAATAGGGAGACAATAGGATATTTACACAAACATATTGTGATAATGAAAGGGAAAGAAAGTTCTCAAAAAGAAAGAACACCTGGCTGGGATGGGGAAAAACAGAAAAGAAAGACAAGAAAAGATTATATGTATGTGTAGGTATACATATGCATGTGTATGTGTCCATAGACATAAAGTGGATAACTATACGCCTGACCTCTGTTAGTTCATCAGAAAGAGCAGTGTCTGCTTTTGTTGTTTGATTGATCATTTTTATGTCTAAATCTTGCAATCTGAATGCCTACTTTGAAGAAAATAATATGCTATATGTTAACTAGTTTTTTAAAAATGGTGCTGATACACTTAAATTCATATGCAAAGAAACACAAAAAGAAATAAACTTAAGTGTTGTGCCACATAGATCTAACTGAAAATGATCTTTGATCTATATTGGAAGCCCAAACCGAAAATCTGCAGAAAAAAAAAATCTTTTATCATTTTTGACTAAGCAAAGGTCTTTTAAATATGGCAATGGAAAAACAGCCCATACATAAGCAAATTGGTGCATTGGATTTAATCAAAATTAGAACTTGTTAGAAGAACATTATTAAAAGGATAAAATCATAACATGTATTATGGGAAAATATTTTAAATCATGTAACTTTACAATGGATATTTATTTAAAATACATAAGAATTCTTAGGTCTCAAAACTAAGAAAAATATCAATCCAGTAAAAAATTAGAAAGTATTAAAACAGATGCATACTTCACAAAACAGAGATATTAATAGTGAGTGAACACATGAAACCATTTTAACATCATTTATCACGTAAGCAAATGCAAATAGAATTAAAGCCAGGTACATGCAGCTATTCACTAAAATAACAATAAAAGCGGCAGAAAATGACAATTTTTATTGTGGATCTAGAGCACCTGAGACCCACACACTGATTATGAAAATATAAGATAGTAAAATGTTTTGGAAACTCTTTGACAGATTTTAAAATATTGAGCATGCAATGACTGTATTTTGGAGCCTAAATTTCCAAGCATTTACTTAGAGCAATGAAAGCATATTCCCATATAAATGTTTGCTCACAAAATAAAGGCCATAATGCTTGTGTTTGCAATGACCCATGATGGAAACAATGCAAGTACTTATCAGCACACGAATGGATAAGTACAGTACATTAATGCACTGTAGTCCCACAATGAAATACGACCCAGAGAAGAAAGAGAACATGCGCATGAATGAGATGACTCTCAGAATGAGTACACGGAGGAAAAGAGCCCAAACCCTCTGACCCCAAAGATACAGGCTGCGGATTCCAACCCGTGTGGAGCTCGAGGAAGTGTAGGCTTACCTAAGGTGGCAAAGAGCACCTCAGGGTTGCCTGAGTGTCTCTGAGGGTGAGCAGAGTAGGCACCGCCATGGGGACCCAGGAAGCACCTCTGGGCCAGTGTGTGTGTGTGTGTGTGTGTGTGTGTGTGTGTGTGTGTGTGTGTGAGTGTGTGATCTTCACTGGAAGGGAGGATACAGGAGAATTCATGCTTTGAAACAAGCCCTCCCTGTTGTGCACATTGTGTGAATTTACTGCATGTCAATTATACCTGCATAAGATGATTACAATATTATCTGTCATTGCAATTTATTAAAATTTTAAAATAGAAAATACTAATTATATACATTTCTAAATACCTTAAATACCAAAGTTTCTTTTTAAACTTTAGGAAGGATCTATTTTTGTACTTTTGCAAACTGTATTCAAGATAATGATTTCATTGATTGGATAGAAGCATACCACTTTTGCACAGCTATTTTTTATTGGAGTCTGACCAGCGTGCTGTGTAACACAGAGGGTCCAATCCACCCATCCACCTGCCCATCCATCCAGTTCTCAGCCTCTCCTCGCTCACTGATGAGGACAGGAAGACAGCAGAGACAACTCTGCCTTCTGGACAAAGCCTGCAAAGAAGTTGTTGGAATCCACAGAGACCCGGCCTCGCCATAGCCCTGAAGCTGGTCCTCAGGAAGAGCGGGGGTTTGGTGTGATTCCAGGCCCCTTAGGAGACCACAGCGCGGTCACTCCGGGAGAGGCTGTGCTTGGCCCTGCTCAGCGCTCGCCTCACGTCGCTGTTCCTCAGGCTGTAGATGAGCGGGTTCAGCATGGGGATGACCACGGTGTAGAAGACAGACACCACCTTGCTCTGCTCCATGGAGGACTGGGCGCTGGGCTGCGCATACATGAAGAAAACCGTACCGAAAAACAGGCAGACCCCAGTGAGGTGCGAGGCACAGGTGGAGAAAGCCTTGTGGCGGCCCTGCGCGGTGCGGATCTGCAGGATCGCAGAGATGATGCAGAGATAGGAGGCCAAAACCACCAGGAAGGTGCCCACGATGATGGAGCCACAGACGCCAAGCAGAACCAGCTGGTTGACGGAGGTGTCCGAGCAGGAGAGGGACAAGAGGGGAAGCACATCACAGAAGAAGCCGTTGACCTCGTTGGGCCCGCAGAACGACAGCGTGAAGGTCATGGTAGTCTGAGTGACGGCGTTGAGGGCCCCCCAGGAGTAAGAGCCCAGCACGAGGCGCGCACACAGCTGGCGGGACACGCGCACGGAGTAGAGCAGGGGGCAGCAGATGGCCACGAAGCGGTCGTAGGCCATGGCAGCCAGCAAGAAGGCCTCGGCGGTGCCGAAGAAGGACAGGAAGAAGAACTGAGCCGCGCAGCCCCGGAAGGACACCGTGCCCTGCGGCGCCCAGAAGTCCGCCAGGGCCCTGGGCACAATCGTGGAGGAGTAGCAGGCGTCCAGCAAGGACAGGCTCTGGAGGAAGGCGTACATCGGAGTGCGGAGGTGCGCGTCCACACCGATGAGCAGGATCATGCCACAGTTCCCCACCATGGTCGCGGCATACAGGGCCAAAAACACCAGAAACAGCACTGTGCGTGTGCCTGAGCCCCCTCCGAACCCAAGTAAGACGAACTCGGAGACGCACGTGAGGTTTGCCATGGCGCAGCTGCAGCCAGAGAGGCGGAGGAGCAGGAAAGGAAAATGTGCAAGGGGTTGTAATCCAGAGAGGTCACGTTAACTAAAGCAGAGCTCTCTGCGTGGCCTTGGACCCTGCTCCTGGGCCTGGCGACAGGGTCCTTCTCTGCTGAGTCCCAGGAGCCTGGGGAAGGAGACTGGCGCTGCTGGGGGGGAAGGAACGGGACGGAAGCGAGCAGGGAGCACCGGAGGGTTCTGCACCATGAACGCATCCACGCGGCACCCAGCTCAGTGCTCTGATGTGTTCTGTGCCATCTCCTTTGTCACAGCCCAGATTTTTAAAAATTATAATTTAGAGACGCTTCACAGCACAGAGACAGTGGCTGGCACAGTAGTGGTGAAGCTGGCAAGCACAAGGTTGGGTTCAACACCAAGCACTAAGGGGAGAACAGGAAGTAGGGGACACAAAGTTAGACACAAAGACCCCTGAGCCGGAAATCCTGAGGCCACTGAGTTAATTCAGCCTTGCAGCATCAACATCTCCCATCTGCCTTCTCCAGAGAGGGACGATGCTGATGTGCACAGAATCCCGTGTCTCACTGTCGCACTGGTCTCTTGTTACTGCTGTCACAAACTGTCTGAGACTGCACGGCTCAAAACAGTAGCGATTGCACAGTTTTAGAGCCCTTCAGAGCCTCAGCTGCCCTGTGCTTTCAGAGTTGTTACAGGCAATCAGCTTCCTTTCCCAGCTCTGAACACCCACCTCTTCCCCTTTGCCTCTTTCGCTCTTAAAGCTCTGCTTTTGTCCTCGAATCTAATGTTCCCGATCCTCCCACCTCTTTCCATACCTCGGGTCCTGCAGGTAACCGAGATCATTAACGTCTGTAATTCTGACACTCTGCTCTGCAAATCCCTTTATCCATTCCAGGTGGCACAGCAAGAGACTCCTCAGGTGAACACACCGGCACTGGTGGGAGGTGGTAGCCGCCCTGTTATCGGATATGTTATAAACAGACTGATGACACTGCCGTTAAACTGTAAGGGAGAAAGCATCCAACAATGCATGGTTCCTAAAATGCAACTCAGCCCGGTTAGCTAACTCTTGAAGAGCTGATGAACAGCCCCGTGGCTCACTGAGGACATTCACTACCTGGAGGTTCTGTGCTGCAGAATCTCATGAAAGAAAACCATAAACAACCAAGCAAAATTCTGCATCTGAGTGTTTAATGCATTTGAGGACCTTACATCCAGCAAACCAGAGATTATTGTTTCAAATGCTTTCAAGTAAGTATTTATGGGTGTACTGTAACAGGGTGACACAGAGAACAAAAGATGGCAATCTAGACCTTAAGAGAAATAGCTAAAATTCCTTAGACCATCTTTAAAAATATTCCCAGCAGCTTTATTCTTCTAAACACTTTCAAAACCCCAGTGCCACTATCAGCCGTAGTGATGGAGAGTCTTGTGAGGAGTGTGGAAGGATGCACTGCATTCTCCTGATGGACACAGCTAGAGTTTCTCCAGGGCCTGTGTTTTTGCTCCCAAATTTACATCTCAAACGCACAGTGATCCTCCTGCCTCAGCCTCCCAAGTGCTGGGATTACAAGCATGTGCCACCACACCCAGCAGTTACTTTGCTTTTAGTCTCAGCACTCAGGTCTAGGTAGTATTGCTGTGTTGTGCTATTGTATTCTAGTTTTGTTTGTTTGTTTGTTTGTTTGTTTGTTTTGCTGGATTAGTGTTCTCTGTTGAAAAATATTCATTGCACTTAATAGAATGTTACTATTTTCAGATAATACCACACAAGACCAAGTAATCAAGCATGGAGCCTAATTCTGAGTAGGTTGCTAGTGAGTTTTGTGGTAGGAAATGCGTGTGTAAAATGTTCTTATACAGAAGTCTTGAAATAGATGATGGTTAATATCCCTTTGCTGTTAATAATTTTAGAGCTTCCTGGGGTTTATTATTCTAGCTTTTCCTTCTATGTGGGAAACAGGAGGAAAAATCTGATTTAATATTCTCAGGGGTGTCACAATCTGTAGTCTCTGAATAAAAATTACAAAACACTGCAGACTCTTGAACCAAAGAAAAACTGAGCTGTGACAGTGTGAAAAGCAGGTGTGACATTGGAGAATGTGCACTGCATCCTAAAAGAAGCTGTTTCCTGCTGCTATTCTGTCAGTACCCAGTGAGAAGTTTAAAATCCGCAATCCGGTGGCTTGAGTAGATTTCTCATCTAGGGTCATCACAGGATCCTGATCATGATATGAATCCTGTCTCATGTGATCCTTGTGCAGACAATGTGGGTTAGATACTAGCATGACAGTCATTTCTAAGAAAGGGGTGGGGGACAAAATCAGGAATCACCCAAACTCCCACTATTAATAAATATGAAGCTGCAACCCTACCCGAGTAATTTGACTCTGAACTCCATACCACAATGTCTGGTAATTAGACAAGGCAACAAAGTACTTCTTAATCTTATTTTGTCTTAAAAGTAAAATTGGAGACTTTTTGTTCTGAGTCAGTTTTGTTATAAATTTACATCAATGACCTGCAATTTAAAAGTCCAAAGCCTTGATTTTTTTATTGGCAAATGCCCCAGTACTTGTGCTGTGGAACTGTGTGGAAGAAACCACAGAGAATGAGACCCTGTTGTGCTTCATAGAGGGGAACCCAAGCCCCAGACTCAAACCCTTTCCAGCTGGGCTTCCTTGGGCAAGAATCTAATTCCTTCTCTGTTCTGCTGAGAGACCTGTCAGATGCAGGGCTGGGGGAGTGGGCTTTACTGTGAGGTCTGAGCATCTGAGTGTTCCTGGCAAGTCTGAAGCACAGTGTCAATGCTGTCACCATTAATTCTAATATTTTTAAAGTCAATTTTTGCCTAATGCAATTTTAATCAGTCTGTCATTTTCATGAATTATCTGGAGTTCTTCAGCCAATTACGATTTTCTTCCAGCTTCTCTAGAATTTACATCAGTTCAGTCAGAAGCTTGCAGAGTGGAAGCAGCACGCATTCTCAGTGAAGCCAGCCTCACCTGCACGTCCTGTGTCCTCTCTTCCCTTTGGAGCCGACATTCAGAGGCCCATCAGCTCTGCAGAGTGATGCTCACATCCCATTGAAGTTCTACTGGCAAGACTGAGGATTAATGAGAGTTCTCTCAGCGCTGGTCATCTGAGATTCATTTCCAGAAGAGGAATCAGCTGGCTCACAGACTGCGTCTTGGCAAGAAGACAAAAGGAAGCAGAGTTCACAGCCACACTGCCCACTATTTAAAGCTCTGCCATGTGTGTGAGTTTCAAGGGTGCCAGTCTTCAGGGAATTTCCTGTGCCTTCGCCCAGACTTGTGGTCCCTGTGCAGCTCAGCAAGAACACACGAGAGGCAGACATGACCATGACGACTCAGGCCTTGAGTCTCTGTGACCTGATCAACCCAAGAACAGAAGGATCCTAGACATTTTGTGTTATACTTTTGTTAAAATGAAATAAGGAAGAGGGAATGGAAGACTCAGATTTATAATCCAAACAATTTATAATTGCTATTAACAGGTCATATATTAATTCAGTCTATATATATATATATATATATGAAAATGTTTTACTTGTATGTCTGTGAAGTATTCTGCACATCATATTTTGCAAATTATATCTAGGAAAAGTAAGGTTTCTAGACACTAAGAAATCAGTATTTAAGCAAATGCCGTAAAATTTAGCAACAACACTGTCTCAAGGTGAAACACAAATAAGCAAACTAACCAAAAAGGGACCGGAAATGCAGGCAAAAGCCTGGGTCCATTCCTCACCACTGCAAAAAAAGAGGAACAAGATAGGAAGAAAGGGAGGCCGGGAGGAGGGAAGGAAGAAAGAAAAGGTAGAAAGGAAGGAAGGAAGCAGGAGAGGAATGAGGGAATTGGGCGGATGGATTTAGGGTTTGATAAAATGAGAACTAACCTTGCAGACCTTGCTGCTTGATCTCATATTTTCTGAAGTCTTACAAAGATCAGTTTCTTTATGGGCACAAAATAAGATTTAAATTCTAAAATGAATTTTGAGGAGCTTAATAAAAAGGAACTGTGTTGCTTGAAGTCTAGTGTTACGATTCTAAAAATATAGCTGATGAAAAGCATCTTCCGTGGCCTGTGAAGTGTCCCAGTGCACACTGTGGGTGGCACGCTGGTAAATGACAAGGTAAGGGGACACCCTGTCTGCTGCTGTTGGTGACTGAGTACTAAAGTGAAGACATAGACTCAGATAAACACAGCAAGGGGTGCTGTGTGATGGAACAAGGAGGGACGCCACAGCCGTTCTGCAGAGAAAGAGAGCACACAGTTCGTGGATATCCTGGAGCAAGAATTGATCTGTGCTCTGAAGACACGTGTGTTTACATAATTGCAGTATCCACCTTAGGGGGAAGAATAAGTTAACCGTTCCAGTGGGGCATCGCACTTCTCTCTTAACAGGAGTAAGACGTGTGTGCTTACATGTGAACACGTGGAGTAAAGTGAGCAAAACCGCCATGTCACATAGCCTCACAGAGTTCAAAGTATGTGCCTAAAACTGTCGTCATGTGTGCTTGGGGTCGTCTCAGCAGCAGTGTGGCATCCTGAACCAGGACTGCTGAGTCCAGCTTCTCATTAGAAATGTTCTTCAGACTCAGCAAACACCCACCTAGAAACAAACCATGTGATCGCGCTATGGTTTGTGCTTGGTTACAGGGAATTCAATTAGATTTCTTTGAGAGATCTGTTCCAGATTGACTTAGTGAGCAGAAGATAGATAGGAGAGACAATGCAAGGAGATATATGTGTGTCTTTGCGCATTTCCATGTGATTATAGGTTTATCCACCTACTGCATACATATACATGTAGTATGCTTGTGTATGCATTATGAACAGAAACATGCAAACATGCATATTCATAGAATATACAGAGTCCATCTAAAAATGTATACACACCTCAGGAAAAGAAAGTCAGTCTCCTGACTGATGGGGAACCCTAGAGGGTGTGATATGTCACAGAAACT